CCCCAAAACCCCAAAACCCCAAAACCCCAAAACCCCTTCCTTTATAATTCCAATTGAAATCCCAATATATGTCAATAAAGCCTAGACTTCATCTTGGTAAAAATGCTAGAGACAGAACATTAGATTTATTCTTCAAGATTTTAGTTAATGAAGGGTACTTAGAATAAAATTTTATGGCCTAAAACAGAGAAGAATGTTACTTATAAGAATACCAAACAAATTCTTAAGTATAAAAATCACCTCCTAACAGGTTTTTCTATTATACCAATCGTAAAAACTTGCACTTTTCACACCCTCCAAAAACTTTGTTCATAAAAGCTCTATTACCCAATCTCCAACAACTCTTTCCTAAAACCCAACCCTTTATCCCTCAACTGTCCTCCTGGACGAACCACAAAATCCCATTTTCACCTATAAATTCTCAAATACCTTCTCGAAAAATAACTACTAAATCAATTTTCTTAAGAAATTTGGTCTTTTGCAAGGTTACATTTGCAACTAACAATTTATGAAAAATAAAATTAAGCTAAAATTTAGTAGTTTGTTGCTGAAGTAGGGGCCTAAGGATTGAAGAAGTATGAAGAGGGAATTTTGGGAATTTTCAAGTATATGAAGGATTTTTAGACCAAATGAGAGATTTTGGAGAGTTTAGCTAAGTAAATGGGTGGTTAGAAGAGGGTGGTTATGAGGATTTTGAGCTGAAAAGTTGAGAAAGAGTTCCGGTTGAGTTTAGGAAGAGAAGGATTTTTAGGTGAGATTGGATAAATTTGTATTATATTTATTAGCGACTAGTTTATTCAAATGCCAAACTCCTCTTATCAATACTGTTCACAAAATGCTTCTTTGTAGTTAAAAAGATTAATTAATTCAAAATTTCAGGTTCCAGCAATTCATGAGCATAGCATAAATGGCATCTTAAGATCATTCCTTTATTATATTAATCATAGTTGCAGAAATATTTAGAAAGTTTTATAGATCTTTTTCATCTTAAAAATAGATGTTAGATATTTCTCCTTTTAGACGACATTTTAGTTTACAAAAGAAATTTTTAATAATATGCTAATCCTTATGACAACAAGTTAAGACTTAGTAATAGGACTAAATTTCAGAAGAGTAAGTTCATTTTGTACGGCAAACAAAGAAATCTATTTAGCAATTCTGAATAATCTCAAGTTTGCGAAGACCTTTAAAACACTTTAAGCCTGTTTCCTTTACCAAATCGTGCATTCCCAATCCTTATACAAAGTTTGATGAAGGCCTTCACCGGAATGGACCTTCAGATTTCACTGCTTTCTTTGTTTAATTTGATAGATAAAAATTAAGTGAATTCATGAGTAAAAACTCATTTTAAATGCCTTCCCCCACTTTTAGTGGAGATATAGGAATTCCTGATTCTGTTATAAAAATAAATTTTAATTTTCTCAGGAAGACTAACTAATAGGGCAAAACCAAATATGCAGAAGAATGCTGAGCCTACACATCCATGGTATCTTGAACTTTGTAGAAAATAGAAAATGATCAATTTAAATTGCCTTTTGGACACGAAAATACCCAAAGATTTGTGAAGTTGGAAAAACTTAAGGTCAGTTTAAAATTTATTAATAAATATTATTCCTCGTCCAGAAGATGTCTTTTAAGAACATGTCTCTTCCTGCTATAGCCAGATATGTTCCGAGGTTTGTTATTTTGCATGTTCCTCATGGATGGGGACAGGATTCTGGGGAATTCAACTCTTTCTCTCATCTCGTCTTGACTATCGAGAGGATTTACTCCTCGAGATACTCTTCCGAACAACTTTGTCTTATGAGAGTGTCTGTCATCTATATGATTACTGCAAAGCTTATACCTGTTTCAGGAGATAATTGGAAATATTGGTCGCTTTCTGAAGTATTGTATACTTCATTAGTCTTTTTGTTTTGCTCAAAGACCACATCTAACTCTCTTTGCTGAATAATTTTCTTGTTTTTATAGCGATTTTCAGGATCTGCATTCACTCTTTTACCATTTTGGCCTCTCAGCCCAGATTTTGTGGTGGAATAGATGAAGCTAGAATTGAGAGCACTGCTATCATCAATTCCTCCATCATAAGGAGGACTATTAGAGTGATTTAGTTCTTTTGTAACCTTCTTATACACTCTTTTATTTTCATGCTGGTTCCTCTTACTGACTCTTCGAGAAACATTGCTTTGATTTCTGATATGAAATGACTTTAGAGTTGGTAATTTGAATCCATTTCAGAGCTTGAACCTGAGCTAATAGTATCCAAAGCCTGTAGCTTTCTCCTTTCATTACTATTAAGTTTCTCACTGACTGGGATGGTTATAGAGGATTCTCCAAAGGAGCCACCATTGTCTTCATCTGATGAAGAATCTGAGCCACTGCTTTCTTCGACTATGGATATTAAAATCTATTTTACTTGACTCCTGTAGTCTATTTCTGAATATCTTTGACTTTATTCTATTGAACCTTCTCATTCTTCTATCTTCAAGGACATGCTGCATCTCCTCAGCTGAGTTTACAGATTCACTACTGCTCGAATCCTATATGAAAGAGGTTTAATACTTATGAAGATGGTCTAAAGTAATTTAACAAATTGTAGTTAGACCAAAATAATGAGTCAGCAATTTAGTTAGGATGAGGATACCTTCTTATGCATATCATTTTTATTGGTTTGGCGTTTTGGGTTTGATTTGAAGCAACCAAAAATTGATGCTCAATATCCACTATTATTTTCATTCTTTCTGCTATATTCACAAAAATCAGAACCACTTTTCATATACTTTAATCACAAAGCTCATCTCAAACTGCTCAAAAATGTAAAATTATACTCCCTAAACCTCTAATCCCTCTTTTTAACTCCACTCCAATTGCTTTTTTATCTGTCTTAACATCAATAGCCAATGACTCACCTCATTTTGTATTAATACTCTCTTATATATTTTATTTCTTAAATCCAATCTGAAAATATTGAAACGGGGTTTTGGGGTTTTGGGGTTTTGGGGTTTTGGGG